CGTGGTATTTTTATTGCTCTTTAAATAATGTTATTTTAGTATTAGTGCCTTACAAATATATCGTGTTGCATTCTGGTTTACAAATTTCTTTCGTGGAAAAACTTAATGTCTAAAGGTGCCGTCACATGCAGCCCGTAATCCGTAATCCGCACCGGAAGTCCGCATAAGTTACTAGGTATTTCGTTTGTAACATTACGTGTGTTTTTAATTCCTTGTGTCCCATGGAGCCGTAATTCCATGAAATTTCCGTAAAAGTTACTACAAGTTACTAGTTATTACTAGTAATGCTTTTTCTAATTTTATTTATTTAACTAAATTTGACGATTTAATTAAAACTTTTGTTAAAATCATAATATATTCTGTAGTTTTCTTATAAATAAAATACAAATAAACAATTATAATCTGTTAAATAAAAAATAGCACTACCGTTACGTCTGTATTTACGGCTCCATGGGACACAAGGAGATAAAAACACACGTAACGTTACGGACGAAATACCTAGTAACTTTTGCGGACTTTCGGTGCGGATTACGGATTACGGGCTGTATGTGACGGCACCCTAAAGCCCGCATAATAAAAGTATACTAAAACCCGCGGCACACAGTATTATTTTCTCTGCTGGATTGCTAACTAGATGTGCATACTTGCTATCGTATGGGCAGCAGTGCTGACGTGCTACTGGCCATATTGTTGGCTTGGCTTCAGACGATGTGGGCTTCCGTACTGGCTAAGCAAACTGAAGTAAACATGGAGCAGGCCATTAACCTAATCTAACTAATAAGGGTTGCGTTCCGTAAAGAGCATATGCGCGCATGTATTTACAGTATACGTTACGTATACTGTAGATACATGCGCGCATATGCTCTTTACGGAACGCAGCCAAGGTTGTGTCGCGATTGGCTCTTGCAATGAATCAGCACAGAACCACGCAAGAAAAATAGCATCTGTTTTATCATGGAAATCCAGCATATCAGTCAGTAGCATGACCAGTAGACACATAATTTCCAGTCTTGCAGACAGCAAGATTGCCAGTACAAACGCACGTAAGCAATCCAGCAGAGAAAATAGTACCGTGTGCCGCGGGTTTAAGTATACTTTTATTATGCATTTAATAATATCATATTTATGATTTTCTAAGATCTCTAAGGGCCGTTTCAACCAACGTGGTTTAAGAAATTAAAAATTAACTAGTGACATTTGGTTATCTTAACTTAACCTAAATATTGGTTTCTACCAACTATTTAACGGCGTTTAAATATCTGTGAACCGAGTTTAAGTTAAAAGGTTGATCTCGACTGTTTAAAGTAATTTAACGCCAGTTTTTAGAAATGTTACTAGCAATACTCTATTTTTATTTCTATACAGGGTGATTCAAAATAACCTGATGTCCTTGCAATGCCATATTCTTGAGCGAATTCTGAGACGATTTTTTTTTACAAAATTTTGTCCGAAGCTTAGTTTTCGAGTTATAATTGAAATAGATAGCAACTTACGAGTTCGGTACAACGGGCAGGCAGGGACGCACAATGTATAATGAGACTGTCAAGTGTTTACTGTCGTCTCATGACGCATTGCATCGTCCCTGCCTGTCCGTTGTATCGGACTCGTAAGTACCAAACTATTTTCAATTAATAACTCGAAAACTAAGCTTCGGACAAAATTTTGTAAAAGGAAAAATCGTCTCAGAATTCGCTCAAGAATATGGCATTGGAAGGACATCAGGTTATTTTGAATCACCCTGTATATCATATTATCAAATATGTATCCTGACCTTTATTGGATATCATTTTGTCAAAACTCAACACTCAACACTCATTGACAGTGGTTGACACGTTACAGATACGTTAAAAATAATTGTGACAAATAATTATTATTATTTTGTTGATATGATGGCATATTTTAATCTTTTGTGGTCTTTAGATTCTAATGATAAAAATATTGAACAATTGGGACGAAGAAGAAAAAGATTTAAACAGCGAGTTAATTATTTTGAAACATTAGATGACGTTGCATTTAAAATGCGATTTAGATAAAGTAAAGATTTGGTATAATTAATATTGGAACATATTAGAGAAAAGTTAGAATTTTTGACAAATAAGTAAGTTCTTTATTATTATTTTATAATTATAATTACAAGTTTAAATTATATATATATATATATATTTCCTAGAAATAATGCAGTATCTTCTATGAAGCAATTATTATTAACACTACGTATTTATGCTACCGGATCATTTCTTATAACAATTATATTAAGAAATATATTTTGATATTTGATTAAATAACAATTAGATTATATTATCAGAATTATTATTTGAATATTAATTAGAAAAATATTGAAATTAAAACGTAACATAATATTATATAACTATTTAGCATTACTCAAATTATGTTCATAACAGATAATGTGTAATATTTCACAAAAGGCATAAGATCAGATGGAAAATGTTTCGAATTTTTGCGTTATTGGCATTTTTGGGGTGAAATAAAGGATTTTTGGCCATTTTCGTACGTTAACGTAACTTAGAGTTTCAGAACATTAGGAAAGAAAAATCCAGCACTCTCGGGATTTTGTCCGATTTTGCGTGGTTACTGGGCATACTTTTAACTAAAAAAAAAACGTGGACACTCAGGGGTTTCATTCATTTTTACGAAGTGGCACCCAGGTGAATGAAAAAATAGAAAAACACGATTTTTACAGTCGATATGTCGAAATACAAAAAATGTCGGATCGAAATTCTAAAAAAAGCGTCTTTTAGGGGAGACTTTGAACTTTCCAAAAAGCCCATGGTAGATGTCGTACGACAATTTGTTCCGGAACTACGGATGTTTAAAGTTGAAGTACAAATTTTGCTTTAACCGCCAATAATTCGGTAAAAAAAATCGCACAGCATTCACAAAAAAACTAAGGCACTATAAACGTGAGTATTCTCGTCTGCACCATTTTTATCCCATTACTTCTAAATGGGCGAGAGGGCAAGGAGTGGGGGAATGGAGCGAAAATGGCGCAGAGACGAGAATACTTACGTTTTATAATGTTTTAGTTTAACCGAGGGTTTGCTAAACTGCCGATTTGGTAAAGTTGATAGAAATGGGCTTAAATCTTTCACGTATTCGTCAAAATTATTAAAATGATCACTTAATGCTAGATAGGAAATAATAACTTTTACAATACCCGTAAACTGTAGGCTGGAGTCATTTATTTCTCCTTTTTTATATTTTTGCGATTTGCAGCTTTCTACAAAACAATATAACACAATTTTTTTGCCGATATGTACTAAATACCACGCATTTTTGACACGCACATTATAATATGGATTAGTTATTAAATTAGTTATTTTCGGCCTTGTTGCTACACAGTGTCGCCACAGATTTTGGATACCAAGTTGGCTTTAGCAGTCCATATTTTTATAGTCAACGGATTGAAGCGTATTGGTGCGAGTAGGAGTAGAGCACTAAAGATACAGGTATTCTCGTCTGCGCCATTTTTATCCCATTCCTCCACAAAGTTCAAGCAGCTTAGAAGACATAACCTAATCATCATAAACCATTGAGTAAAAAGAAACAGGAGGGAGCATATACTAGCCAGGACTAGGTAAATCCGCGGACGGATGTACGTCATGGCAGCCATCTTGAGCGACCACTTTTTGAAAGTGAGAGGGAATGCTCGAGCATTGCGGCAAGCGGCATACCGTACGCCGTACGCATTAATATGCAGTGTATAGTCTTTTATGCAACAGTGTATGGAAATAAACGATCAAAATAGTATACTGTAGAGCTTGTGGCATAACAGCAACAGCTCGAAATCATGGAATAACGTTTCATCGGTTAGTATTATCAACAATAATGAGATTTTTATTTTGGAGATTATAATCATATGTATAGTATTGCGAAATTGTAGATTCACAATAATTACTAAATAATTTTCACTCACAAACAGGTTTCCGAAAAATCCGGATCAAAGAAATGCATGGATAAATTTTTGTAAGGACGAAGGATTTAATATAAATTTAGATTTTAGATTTTAACATTGCTCTTATGGAAATACTGCACGAGTGCAATCTCAATGAAAAGCGCCATTAAAATTTGGTATTATTGTTGCATATTATAGTTATTTTTTTTAATTGTACATTATTTCCTAATTAAACATAACAAGTCATTCAATGTTGGCGCCCTTGAGCGGCCATCTTGAGCGACCACTTTATATAGTCACTTCCGTCCGCATTTTTAAGACCAAACGCTCCCTCCTGTTTCTTTTTACTCAATGTCATAAACTTCTCAGCTCAGTGACAAAGGGTTGAGAGGGCAAGGAGTGGGGGGAATGGGACAAAAATGGCGCAGATGAAAATACTCACGTTTATAGTGCCTTAGTAGGAGCAGAGAGAAGTGTAAGATATCGCCAAGCTCAGGCGATAGACGGCGCCAGCTCGCGGCTGCCAAATTCAACTATCGGCAGAATAGAGCGATAATCGATACTCGCGAGCGTGATCCCGCGCCGTAATTAGGGAAACGAAGAATATGCTCGTATTTTCGAGAATGGGCGCGTTCAGCAGAACAAACCGCTTAGTAGCAATCGAACGTGATTGGTTCTTACTTTCAGAACCAACTAATTAACAGTCGAGATTCAGCGGAAAATCTACAACTGTTGAGTCTGCTGAACGCGGCCAATGTTCGGAAAAGTCGAGCTTATGAGTGAAGCGTTAGCTAAAATCACTCTCGCCGAGCCGAACAAAGCAATCTAAAGTCGAAGAATATATTAGAGAGAAAGTCGTGTCGCTTGTCGGGAATTTAAACTTTGTGAATCTTATGTTACAAGTATTCAGTATTTAATTATAAGTTACATTATTTTACTAAAATCAGTGTTTCTTATTGCAAAGTACCCATCCTGTCGTATCGTAAAATAAGTCGAGCCGGTAGTGTAATAATCTTACACTAATAATTACAAATAAGGTCGTGTCGGGGTAACTGTTTTTCGTTTAAAATCAACGAGCCGTCGGAAAGAATTTTCATAAGACTTTTATTGAAAATTACATTTTTGTCAGGCCGGAAAATCGATCGTCGAGTCGTTGTCGAAAAACCAATACGAGTACCTTTCAACTTCAGAAGTGGGATTCGGGTTCTTCAAGTCCGCATCCGGTCGAATAAGCCGAAAATCGTTGTCGGAGTCGTGTCGAGCAGAAGGATGCCGAAAACTCGTTCTATGATGAACCGAGAAGAGCTGGAAAAAGCAACATTAGAGCAATTACAAAAAGAAGCTCGTCGTTATCAATTGCCGTTGATAAACGACAGAGATTTGCTCATAGAATCAATTTTGACTCACTTCGAGAGATCAGGACCTACTGAGAGGACGTTGGAGACGCCGCGGATGACGAAGTCCACGTTCCGGCAGCGTCGTCCTCGAGGCGAGCCGCCGAAGAAGAGCCGATGACTATAGAGATGTTCCGCCAGGCGATGACGGACATCTCCACGTCGATCCTGTGCCAGCAACAGGAGCTGCAGCAGTAGCAACAGCAGTTCATGCTGCAGATCGTCCAACAGCTGACGCCTAGGCAAGGTAACGGGCCGCTTGGCCGAGACGAAGGGGTAGTAGGCCCCAGCAGTCCTGAATCCCTGTCAAGGGCAGCTGAAGGTAATGTGACATCACATTTAAATTCCGCGAGTAATGGTCAGACAATATCGAATGCGAGTGCTTTACCGGCGGGAAACGCAGTCAGCTGATTGGCCTCGCAAATACCAGAATTCGGTGGATCAGACGATAAAAACGTGTCGGTATGGACAAGACGAGTAGATAAAGTGTCGATTATTCACAATGCGTCCGACGGAGTAATATTACTGGCCGCGTCCAGCAAGCTCGTAAAATTCGCCCGCCAGTAATACGAGATCCAGACGGGTGAAATGATAGAATCCTGGCGAAGTTTAAAATTAGAACTAGTTAAAATGTTCGAGAAAAAGGTACCTTTCTACAAGGCGATTCAGAAAGTCGAGGCGCGTAAGTGGAGTCTGAATAAGGAATCGTTTGACCAGTACGCGATTTCGAAGCTCGCCCTCATGAACAATTTAAATTTACCTACGAAAGACTCAATACATATGCTGATAAGCGGCATAGCGCAGAGCTCATTGAGGGCTATAGCTCTCTCTATCGCGGACGACACGATCGACGGCTTTCTCGTGAAAATGCACGACATCGCGGAAGGGAGCGTGGAAGTGGAAAGAAAATCCATGACGGTCGCGAGTGCGCCTAGAACAATGATTAATGAATCATGCAGAGATTGCGGTAAAAACGGTCACACGCACAAAGAGTGTAGAGGTGACACTACCTGTTTTTACTGCAAAGAGAAAGGTCATCGCCAATTTGATTATCCCATGCTCAAAAACAAGAGCAGCGGGAAACAGACGGCGACGACACGATCAGCAACAGCTTTGGTGGCGGCAGCCGTCTCCAATGAGTCAACAGAAGCAGCCGAGGATGACTGTGAGGTGATGGCAGTCTTTTCGGAAGGAGTCGGCACGGAATTGGAATTTTCCAAACCTGTTGTGCAGGTTACTAGCGTCTGCGGGAAAAATTGCGAATTAGCAACGTTAATCGATACCGGCAGTCCGATTTCATTTGTAAACTGTAAGATTTTCGTAAAATATATCGAACCATGCGTAAATACAATGCTACGTTAGACAGAAAAATAACAAATTTCAGTCGAGAGCCGTTAAATGTCGTCGGATTTGTCTCAATAAAAATTACGTTACAGGACTTAGGAAGTAGAATAATAAAAGTTAAATTATATATACTTAATGAGTCGTTTTAAGGCGACTTTATTTTTGGTCGCGATCTTTTAGATAATCAGAAGCTTACCTTGGTTTTCCGGTATGGCGATCCGTCGGAAGTAAGCTCGTCAAGCTGCGTAAGCTTATGCGAGCAATTGCCGCTCATAATTTCAGGCAACCCTTCGAATAATCTGAAACGAGATTTAGAAAGTAATGACGACGAGTTAGAATTAAAGAATGAAAATAAATTAAATGTAAAAGTAGATATAGGAGAAAAAAATATCTCACCGATCAAGGTCGAGCGTGAGATGCGAGATACATCAGCGGATGACTCCATCTACGCGTATGCGCCGCGACGGCTGGAATATTGTGCTCGCAACACCCGTTAACTTGTTCTACTTAACGACCGCGGTCGCTGTGGTCTTGAAACGTCATAGATGACATCAATGATTGCGACCGCGTCGAGCTCACGACGCCCGTGGTTCAAACGTGGGTCGTCGTGTCTTAGCTATTTTCACGCGGTTTTTAAACTAGAATGTTCGTAGTGTTTGACAGTGTTTGACAATGTCGTCGCAAATAATTCCTTTTTACAATACTGAAAGCGACACAGTTATAGAAGAAAATTTATCAGAAGAAGATGCCGTGGTCGTCTAATGCGTTCCACTAAAATTTTCGCTCGCGACGTTTGCGAGTTAGTGGAACGCGCAATTTTGCGGTGTGGTCGCGGTCGTTGCGGGCGTTAAGTGGAACGCACTCCAAGGCGCTTAGGGTGAAATCAGATGATACGGAAAAGAGCTGCGGAACGGAGAGTGCGTCATTGAGACAGCCAATCACAGCTATTTTGTATGTTCTGCATTAGTTCTGTACGGAACTGGGCTGCGGAACTGCTGCGGAGTGAAGAATGCGTCATTAGAGTTGTTAATTCAAATACGTAAATATTTTTGTTATTAAATAATCAATGATGGCGTATTCAAACAATTTGGTTATGGCAGAAGAAATAAAAGGTGCTTACATCTATTCTTGAATAATTAAAATACAAAGCAGGATTACTTGTTTCAAGCAGCTTGATTAAATTGTCGCTATCGCCTTGTAGCGTTCGCTGCTCAACAGTATAAATGATCTTACCCATATACTCCTTTTAGATTTCTTATGCTCTGACAAGACCGTGTGTAATGCCAACAATTTTAGCAAAGTTAATCTTATTTTTTCTTTTTTATAATTTAACATAGGGGTTCTTAAATATACCTTTAATAACTGTGCTATAGATTCTGTGACCATATTTAATTCACTGTCCATGATTAAATGATAATTTATCTTTATTAAAAAATCTATACAAGAAATCTCACTGAAAACTCCAAAATGTTCAGTTGATGCTTCGATGCAGCAACCAAGGACAGCTATTCCGTACAATTGTATTCCGCAAGCCTTGTTCCCTCAGTTCACATGATACGGAATAAGAAATCCAATGACGCATCTGCAAAAAATAAAATTTAAGAGAACAAACATTTTTATAATTGTAACGCTTTTAAAATAACATATAATGTTATAAATTATGAAAAAGTTTATCTGCGTATAGTAATTTAATGATAAATAAAGATTTTGAAATTTAAAAAGAAAACAATTTTTAAAGGTTATGTTTTCTTTAATTTAAAATCTTTATTTATCATTAAATTACTATACGCAGATAAATTTTTTTATAATTTATAACATTATATGTTATTTTAAAAGCGCTACAATTATAAAAATGTTTGTTTTCTTAACCCTAATTAGTCACACGGGGTGGATTTCACCCCAACCTTTTTTTGATCTGGAATACGGCTCATTAAATTTTGAGAAAATGGGACTTGTTCCACCATATACCGGTAGTTTGAACCTTTAACTACAGATTCAGGTAGGTATTATTTGAGTTGGCTCTTTAGTGCTTTTGGGAGCCATCCGAAGCAGAGCGTCCAAAATTGTGGGGTGGATAACACCCAGGGTGTTTACGATAATTCAAGTTCGAGTTAGTTTTACTAGGGCCGAAAAATGAGATAGACATAACCATCTAGAATCTTTATGATTCATGACAACTCGACGCTGTCTTGTACTGCTTGAGTTAGGGTGTTTACGATAATTCAAGTTCGAGTTAGTTTCACTAGGACCGAAAAATGAGATAGACATAACCATCTAGAACCTTTATGATTCATGACAACTCGACGCTGTCTTGTATTGCTTGAGTTAAATTCATTGAATTTGTTGAGGCCGGTATTCATAGTCCGTTCTTATATTTAAGATTGTCTTAAGCACGGACTTATATTCGCTCTCTTCGTCACACATGGATTGTGTCTGACGAAGAGAGCGAATATAAGTTCGCGCTTAAGACGATCTTGAATATAAGAACGGACTATGAATACCGCCCTGAGTTTATTGAGCAAATTTTATTGTAATAGAAAAATGTCAACTGCAAATCAGTCTATGAAAGAAACAAATAATGTTGGTATGTATGTTGGTATACCTCTTTAATAAATTAATAATAATATAATTAATAATAATAATAAATGACATTTTTCTATTACAATAAAATTTGCTCAATAAACTCAATAAATTCAATGAATATAACTCAAGCAATACAAGACAGCGTCGAGTTGTCATGAATCATAAAGATTCTAGATGGTTATGTCTATCTCATTTTGTGACCCTAGTGAAACTAACTCGAATTTGAATTATCGTAAACACCCCTTATCTCCCTGTGTCCCATGGAGCCGTAATTCCATGAAATTTCCGTAAAAGTTACTACAAGTTACTAGTTATTACTAGTAATGCTTATTCTAATTTTATTTATTTAACTAAATTTGATTTAATTAAACCTTTTGTTAAAATCATAATATATTCTGTAGTTTTCTTATGAATAAAATACAAATAAACAATTATAATCTGTTAAATAAAAATAGTACTACCGTTACGTCTGTATTTACGGTTCCATAGGACACAAGGAGATAAAAACACACGCGTAACGTTACGGACGAAATACCTAGTAACTTTTGTGGACTTTTGTTGCGGATTACGAATTACGGGCTATATGCATTGAAATATATACCATACTGGAACGAGCACGTCTTTGTTCTCGACCGGTCAGATGGAGATAGCTATTCGGACCCGGACACGGAATAAGGAATAGAGGGACGGAGCACAAGCTGTACCGGAGGAGCACGTTTGCGGCGGGGGGGGGCCGCCATATTCGTTTAGTAATCACCACACATAGAACTCACTATTTGCGTATGTGTGAGAAATGAAAGTCAGATCCTGCGCACAATAAACAAAATAGGAAATAGAAATCGGAATAATTATTAAATATTAGAAATAAGAAATTGGAATTATTTATTTTAAAAATAAAAAATAGGAAAAATTAATGCATGAATTAAGAAATAAGAATTGGAACTAATTAATATATTTTATTCTCTTGTTATATGTAAAATAATTTCTCTTTTTAATATTAAATGTTTATTGCTATTTCTAATATTTTGTCTATTGTATGCAGAGCCTCAGAGTAATAAAAGTTAAAGTATTTTATAAAATTTATAGTACAACAATAATAAAACCGCCTAACCTCTTTACGCTTGTCACTCGTTATGTCTAGTTAGGCATCACTACACGAGTGTAACCATTGAGTAAAAAGATACAGGAGAGAGCATATACTAGCAGGACTAGGTAAATCCGCGGACGGATGTACGTCATGGCAGCCATCTTGAGCGACCACTTTTTGAAAGTGAGAGGGAATGCTCGAGCATAGCGGCAAGCGGCATACCGTACGCCGTACGCATTAATATGCAGTGTATAGTCTTTTATGCAACAGTGTATGGAAATAAACGATCAAAATGGTATACTGTAGAGCTTGTGGCATAACAGCAGCAGCTCGAAATCATGGAATAACGTTTCATCGGTTAGTATTATCAACAATAATGAGATTTTTATTTTAGAGATTATAATCATATGTATAGTATTGTGAAATTGTAGATTCACAATAATTACTAAATAATTTTCACTCACAAACAGGTTTCCGAAAAATCCGGATCAAAAAATGCATGGATAAATTTTTATAAGGACGAAGGATTTATAAATTTAGATTTTAGATTTTAACATTGCTCTTATGGAAATACTGCACGAGTGCAATCCCAATGAAAAACACCATTAAAATTTGGTATTATTGTTGCATATTATAGTTATTTTCTTTTAATTGTACATTATTTTCTAATTAAACATAACAAGTCATTCAATATTGGCGCTCTTGAGCGGCCATCTTGAGCGACCACTTTATATAGTCACTTCCGTCCGCACTTTTAAGACCAAACGCTCCCTCCTGTTTCTTTTTACTCAATGAGTGTAACCATGTCACAGACACAGAATCTCTGTGTGAGAATTGCTACATCAATATGACGGAAAGCAGTCCCCTCCGCACGCTTGAATTGCCATCCCCTCTCGCCTAAACTAGGACTTTAGACTCGGTCCCTCTATTCCTTAGTCCGTGGATGGCACCCTGATGACACGCTACGGCACGGTTCGACACAGCAGAAGAGCATAGTCGAACACAGAGTCTAGTTCATGGCTGCCAATTTTTGGGATGGTATTCTAGAGAATTTTCATTTTATCCATCTGCAAAATATATTTAGGGTGAAATCAGATGATACGGAGAAAAGCTGCGGAACGGAGAGTGCGTTGTTGAGACAGCCAATCACAGCTATTGCGTACGATTGTATTTCGCAAGTGATTGTCTGTCTCAATGACGCACTCTCTGTTCCGCAGCTCTTCTCCGTATCATCTGATTTCACCCTAATAATTTAGTATTTTTAAGTACTCATAGCAATGTAATTTGCAAGAAAATTGCAGAAATTATGTATATAATTGCTTCAACCACATTTAAATAACGAAATATTAACGTAATTAAGTACATTTACTTGCGATCGAGGCGACATTCTGTTCCGTTTTTGCTACATGGGACTGATAAAGAAATTTTTTACGGAACGGAACGTGAACGGAACACTCAATTCTAGTGAGAAATCCGATCCGTCATTCCGATCCGTGCTCAATGGGACTGCACCCTAAAGGCCATCACACACAAAATGACATAACTGCATACGCATAGCATAAGACCGTCTCGACCAAT